AAGCTTTACAAATCTTGGATAAACATTAAGCTTAAACAAGTTGTTTAACGCATTAACCAAATAAAAAAAATTGCAAATTTGCAAATTTCATAAAATAATTAAACATGATCCGCGGGAACAGCAGCAACAGCAACAACAGCAGCAGCAACAACAACAATAAGAGCAGCAGCAATAAAAACACAAAGCAGCAACAACAGCAGCAGCAACAGCAGCTACAACAGGAGCAGCAACAGCAACAACAGCAGCAGCAGCTATAACAGCAGCTACAACAGCAGCAGCAGCTATAACAGCAGCTACAACAGCAGCAGCAGCTATAACAGCAACAAAAGCAGCTACAACAGCAGCAACATCAACAACAACAACAACAACAGCAGCAGCAGCTATAACAGCAGCAACAGCAACAACAACAACAGCTACAACAGCAGCAACAACAACAACAACAGCAGCTACAACAGCAGCAGCAACAACAACAGCCACAACAGCAGCAACAGCAACAACAACAGCCACAACAGCAGCAACAGCAACAACAGCCACAACAGCAACAACAACAGCAACAACAACAGCAACAACAACAGCAGCTACAACAGCAGCAGCAACAGCAGGAGCAACAACAACAACAACAGCCACAACAGCAGCAACAGCAACAACAACAGCCACAACAGCAGCAACAACAACAACAGCAGCTACAACAGCAGCAGCAACAAGAGCCACAACAGCAACAACAACAACAGCCACAACAGCAGCAGCAACAGCAGGAGCAACAGCAACAACAACAGCCACAACAGCAGCAACAACAACAACAACAGCCACAACAGCAGCAGCAACAGCAGGAGCAACAGCAACAACAACAGCCACAACAGCAGCAACAACAGCCACAACAGCAGCAACAACAAGAGCCACAACAGCAACAACAACAACAGCCACAACAGCAGCAACAGCCACAACAGCAGCAACAACAACAACAACAGCAGCTACAACAGCAGCAGCAACAGCAGGAGCAACAGCAACAACAACAGCCACAACAGCAGCAACAACAAGAGCCACAACAGCAACAACAACAACAGCCACAACAGCAGCAACAGCCACAACAGCAGCAACAACAACAACAACAACAGCAGCTATAACAGCAGCAGCAACAGCAGGAGCAACAGCAACAACAACAGCCACAACAGCCACAACAACAGCCACAACAACAACAGCCACAACAGCAGCAACAGCAACAACAACAACAGCCACAACAGCAGCTACAACAGCAGCAACAACAACAGCAACAACAACAGCCACAACAGCAACAACAACAACAGCAGCAGCTACAACAGCAACAGCCACAACAGCAGCTACAACAGCAGCAACAGCAACAACAACAGCAACAACAGCAGCTACAACAGCAGCAACAGCCACAACAGCAGCTACAACAGCAGCAAC